TTCTGATTTATTATAAACTCTAATATATTTATTTCACACTAGTAAAKAGAAATACATTTATTCTGATTTTTAAATATTAAAGTTATAATACATTATGTTTTATTATAAATTTAATAAACTGATTCTCCTTTTTGTAGTAAGATTATGATAAATTCTGATTTCTGAATCTATTATGATTTTTAATACTAAATTTATAATAAATTATGATTTACTATAAAATTTATTAAATTTATTCTGACTTTTTATATTAAATGTAGAATATGGTTTTTTATAAAATTTAATAAACATTTTCTGATTTTAATAAATATTTTAAAAAATACTAACTAGTTAATATTTTATTACTTGAAAAATATCTTATGTTTTATATTAAAAAGTAATTAATATATTCTTTTTTTTATATTTTGTTAATTCTTTTTATAAATATTTTATTTGAAATATTAAATAGAAATATTAATGGAATAATCTATATTAATATAATATACTAATATATTATATTTTTAATGTACATTAGTCGACATCCTGTCGACATAATAGGAAAAACTGTATTTTTTTTAGTTATTTGGATCGATTTGGTCGACATTTCCGAAATATAGGAAATGTCAACTGACATAATGTAATTTTTATATTACCATCCATTTTCATGTCGGTGAGCCTCAACATCGACATATGTCGGGCGACATTAGCGACATTTGGCGACATTTGAAACCATGGTTAGGATGTGATCCGGCCCTAGGGGCACAACCATCCGAGGTCGTTGCGTGTGGCCGCATCATTGGCCCCGCGTTGCGCACCATCCTCAGCCACGTGTCAGCGTGCTACTAGCCTGCCTAAGGCGCCTACATAATTTAACCCCCACTCTCGAGGTCGCAGTGGAGGTCTTGGCTGAGGACCTCGATTTCGGCCGAAGAGAGTGTGTCATCCTAGCTGGGAGGTGCCAATTGGTTTTCTATGGCGAGGGCCTCGGCTATGGCCGAGCTGGTGAGAGCGGTCTTCTGGCGTAGAGGTGCTAGCCTCGATTTCAAAGGGCTGCTGAGGACAATGACCTGTGGAGTCCGAGGACTGTTGAGGCCGAGGACCTGTGAAGCCAAGAGCTATTGAGGCTGAGGACCTATGAAGCCTAAGTGCTATTGAGGCTGAGGACCTATGGAGTCCAAGGACTGTTGAGGCCGAGGACCTGTGGAGTCCGAGGATTGCTGAGATCGAGGACATGTGGAGTCCAAGGACTGCTGAGGCCGAGGACTTGTGGAGCCTTAGGGCTGCTGAGGCTGAGGACCTGTAAAGCCTGAGGGCTGTTGAGGCTGAGGACTTGTGAAACCTAAGGGCTATTAAGGCCGAGGACCTGTGAAGCCTGAGGGTTGTTGAGGCCGAGGACCTGCGAAGCCTAAGGACTTTTGAGGTCGAGGACCTATGAAGCCTGAGGGCTGTTGAGGCTGAGGACCTGTGGAGTCCGAGGATTGTTGAGGCCAAGGACCTGTAGAGTCCGAGGACCTGTGGAGACTGAGGGCTGTTGAGGCCGAGGACCTATGAAGCTGAGGACTGTTGAGGTTGAGGACCTGTGAAGCCTGAGGGCTATTGAGGCCAATGACATGTGGAGCCCGAGGCCAATGCCTTGGGCGTGTAGAACAAGTTTAAAAGGACTATGTTAAAGGCAAACCCTTCAAATTTGTCTTGGTTATCATGGTATCAGAGAAAATATTCTATATCAGCTTTTGATTCAAGTTTAAAAGGACTATGTTAAAGCATTCTAGCTCTGTTATTGAAAACCAATTTAAAGATTGTTTAGAGGTTGATTTAATCGACACAAGCTCAGTCCTGTTCTTCTGGAATCTCACCATTCAGTTGAATTTTTCTATTGTTCTCTATACTGCTTGATCTAATCACTGTGTACTATTTTTTCGATCGCCCTAGGCTCTTGCATCTATCTATTCCTTTGGAGAGAAGTTCGGACTGGTTTTGAAGGGTTTCAATCGCTTTCTTCTCTTTGGTAGGCCTGCAACATGCCTTTTCTGGACTGGTACATATTACAAGTGATATTTTGAAGGTCTTGATCCTTTATTGCCCTAGTCTATATTTTCTTCCTATATCATTGGTTTGGGGATTGAATCAGTTTTTGGAGGATATTGATTCGATCTTTCTGGCTTTTGATTCTGTTAATTTTATTTTTTTTTGGACTGCTTCTTGACTCCTTGACACTCTAGGCATCTTTTTTCCTTGGTGAAGATTATTGTCTTTGCTGCTGGACCCTCCTGCTACCTGTTATTCATTTTATAGGAACTGTTTCTGATTGGTTTACAAAAAGTTTTATTCTTGTTACCTTATATAGTACTTACTTTGATGCTTTGGAAGAAAGGTTCAAAGTATCAATATGAGATGCCCAATCGCATTGGTAGGGTTCCAATACACCTGTTTAAAGGTGTTTTCAAGAACCTATTTATTATACTTATTAAATAATATAATAATATTTATAAAAAACAAATTTTGAAAAGAAAACCAAAAAAATAAAAAGTACATTGTTTAAAGCACTGATACACCCTTGACGATGCACAAAGGTGTATCAATACTTTGAACCATGTTTGGAAATAGTCTTCTTGGTGTTTTCTTTGCTGAAATGGCCTCAGACAGGAAAGACATTCTTGCAGAAAGGTTTGATGGGTGTAATTATTCAATTGTGGAAATTCCACTTCCAATTTTATGTTGAAGGGTAGGGTCTTTGGGTTCATATTGACGATTCATCACCAGACCATAGTTCAAAGTATCAATACACTACCATTTTGTCATTCCACCCATATTTCTAAGCCTCCTGACCATTACGGTTTTTATTCACCCCATAGCTCCTCTTCCATTTTGTCATCTACAAATATTGCTAACACTCACTAGCAAGCTATGGCTGTTCTGCATTGGAAAGAAGCTATGGATGTTTAGATCCAGGCTCTCCTTGAGAATGATACATGGGATTTGGTTCCTACTCCTCCAAATGCTTCTATTGTTGGTAGTAGATGGGTTTCTCAATGGAGTTGACCAGATAGGAGTCTTGACAGATATAAATCTCGTCTAGTTGCTCATGGGTATAAGCAGGAATATGGAGTTGACTATAAGGAGACTTTTGCCCCTATTAAAAAGATGTCTACTATTCATCTTGTGCTTTCAACCTCAGTTGTTAAACAATGGGAAATTCATCATATGGATGTCAAGAATACCTTTCTATGGATCCACTTGAAGGAGACAATGTTTATTAAATCTGATCTGGTTACTATGATCATATAACTATAGTCTATCATCTGAAGAGATCTCATTAGGTACATCAGGGGTACTTTGTCTCATGGCTTGTTCTTCTCATCATCCTCATCTCTTGATTTAGTTGCTTATGCTGATGCTAATTGGGTAGGATGCCTAGACACAAGGTGGTCCACAACTAGGTGATGTGTTTTCTTGGGAGATTCTCTTGTTTCATGGAATTGTGAGAAGCATCAAGCAATCACAAAATCTTCCACTAAACTAGAGTATCAAGTCATGTCTTTTCTGTACAGAGATTATATGGCTAAGAGACCTTCTTCATGGCTTACATATTCTTCAAATCCTATCTTTCATGAGATTGATTGCCACTTTATCCAAGACCAATTTTTGGCCGGCAACATCTCCCTTCCACACATTTCCTCTAGCATTCAACTAGCCAACATCTTCACCAAGGCTATGACTCGCCCTTGGCACAAATTCCTAATAGACAAATTGACACTTCTTCATCAACATAAGTTTGAGGGGGGTGTAGAGAACCACAGGCTGATATCTTGTTCAGAGCATCCTTTATTATGCATGTAACATATGTATAGTATCATGTTCTTTATTCTTTTTATCTTCTTGCATTTGAGAAGGGCTTCTGTCTTTTCTCTCTTTTGTAACTCAGCAATATATGATACAATCTTTCTTGGGCGTCTAGAACAAGACACACCCTTCAAATCTGTCTTCTCTCCCTTTGTACAAACCCTAGTTATCATATGTTATAGGATTTTGGGAAAGCGAGTAGTGGGCTGAGTCACACAACCTTGAATTAAGGTCTAGCATCTCACCTTAGATCTCGAATTCTAGATTGTAGTCACACTGTAGTCACACCTCAGAAAATTATGGAGTTTGATCAGAGGCACAAAGTGCTCAAAGAAAATGCTCAATTCACCCACTGCTGAAAACCAATTAGTGCATCCCTCTGTATAGGCAAACCTATCTTGCTAGTGAAGAAGACTGGCACTAAAACTTAACTACTACTTTCTACCTAATTCTCCTAGAAAATTACAGCTCTAACTTCCCATACATTTCTTCATGACTAAAAACTTCCCAATTTTCACGATGACTGTTGACATTTTCCATGCTTTCATTAATTCCAAGAAACCCCAACACCAAGGTTCATTTAGCTTGCATTATTTCTAAAGTCATGTTTCAATTTAGTGGGTTGGTTAGCCATGGAATGGGCTTAAATATGGGTTTGGTCTTGGCTGTGGGATTGGGCATTGATATGTGTTTGAGTTTGTTTTCTTCCTTCAGCTATGAACTTTCAGCCTGTCAAATGCATTGGCATCATTCCAACTGATGCAGCCAGGTCAAACCCCAAATATGCTTGAAAATGATTGGATATTGGATATGTTATAGGATTTTGGGAGAGTATTGGCTGAATCGAACAGCCTTGAATTGAAGTCTTTGGAGCCTCACCTTGGAACTCTAATTTTAGATTGGATTCACACCAATTAGTTAGAGAAGTAACATTTCAGAGAAAAATATGGACTCTCATAACCAAGGTGCAAAGTGCTCAAAGAAAATGCTTAATTCATACACTGTTGAAAACAGATTAAGATTAGTGCATCCCTTTATATGGGCAAGCTATCTTGCTAGTGAAGAAAACTAGCATTAGAAAATAATTACTACTTTCTAATTAATTATCCTAGAAAACTGTATCTTTAACCTCCATAAATTTCTGACTAAGACTTCTCAATCTTGATGATGATTGCTGGCATTCTCCATACTTTCTTTTATTCCAAGAAACTCCGAAACCAAGGCTCATTGAACTTGCATTAATTATAAATTCATGTTTCAATTTAATAGGTTGGTTGGCTATGGATCTGCATTTTGGGTGTGGGCAATAGACATGGGTTTGGATATAGGTATGGACCTAAATATAAGTTTGGTCTTTTATGGGCTTGGGTTTCGGTATGTGTTTGAGTTTCTTTTCTTCTTGCAGCTATAAATTTTCAGCCCATCAAATGCTTCAGCATCACTTTGTCTCTTCCAGACAACAATTGATATGAAGTAGACTTACTGATTATGTGGATGGATGCTATTTTGACCTGAAATAGTATAAGAAAGAGAAAGAAAAGGAAAGAGAAAGAAGAGAACAGTAGAAGAAAAATAAAAAGCAAGGAGAGAGAGAAAGGGGAGAACAGCAAGAAGTTGAAAGATATACAAGTGTCAATGATGTTTTAAGGGTATCAGGGGAAGCTGTGATGTTTTTAAGGGTAACTTCAAAGACTGATTGAAAATCCCAGCTCGCTGAATATGTGGAGTTGGTGGAAAGGAGCCCTTATCTTTTTTTTTTTAGTGTAATGCATTTACCATAAAATGCAAGATCTATTTTCCAAATAATCAAAAGAAGAATTAAAAACCTATGTTTTCTTTCTGTAATACTGCTTAACATATTTCTTTCTTATTCTTTTATTTACATATGACATGTAGATAATCATGTGCCATGTAAAACTAGAACCAATAGGATTAGATAAGAACTTATTTGAAAGAAGCTGGGAGCAGCTACAGTAAGTAATAAAATGAGGGTAAGTAGATCAAGATGGTTGGGCACATGCAGAGAATACCATCTACAGCACCAGTATTTTCTTTGTTCTTTGTAGAACTTATACTTTTCTTCCATAAACTTGTAGCATTAACCAAGTGAATCTTAATAGTTGGCCAGTCATTTTTATAATAAATCTTTCAGAAATTTAAATATCTTCATAAACCATCGATTCAGAAGAGACAATAATAATATAAAATATTTATGGAATAGTTTTACCATAGTTGAGTTAGCATGTGAACCCATCTTGGTCTTGCTGCTGGTAAACTTGAGAAGAGGGATGAGAGCAAATGGGAGTTCAAATGATAGGATCATCTGCAAAAAGAATATCATTATTAGATTGATGACAATGAACAGAAAAAAAAAAAAAAAAAGAAAAACAGATTTTAAGTAATTTAGGTCACTTCCAAAAGGATCTATGGTTTAAATTTTGAAATTTAGATTACAAAATAATAAGATCTGAGGCCACTTATCAAGTGGAAACATCGCAGACAAAAGAAATGCACAGAAAAAGGTCATAAGGGAAGAAGAATCTAGTATATAACAGTGATATATATACACTGTAACAATGACAATCTGATAATTCTTTTAAATTTTAGTGAAGCCTATTTTGTCGAGTAGCATACCATAATATAGCTGAACAAATATTCCTATGTTAGTGTACAAAACAATGAAGGATAAAATCTTGCATCTTTTTATTCTTGGTGCAAAATATCATCCCAGAGAAGAGACTGCTAGACCTACTTTGTCTACAGATGAGCTATATCTATAATTGTGACTGATTTTCACCATCCTTTAGCTCTAGCCAGTGCATATCCATGCAAATATTTAGCCATTTGCAAGTATTCTTTCATATTTGATAATCTGCATGAACACCACATGAGAAAACTATTTAATTGTGGTTATTATCTTGTGAATACCTGCAAATGGTTATTCCATTACCCTTCCTTCTTTTCTCTCAGTTATTCCATTATCTTGTGAACAATCAACCTATAATCACAAGTCAGTATCAGAGCAGGGTACTCTACTACAGAATATCATTGCCAGCTCATAATTACCAACAGTTGATGTCAACAGTCTGTACAGTCAACTGGTACTCCGGACTGAGATGATGACAGCCCTGATACACTGTCATTTTATTAGAATTTCTATGTAGTTTTCAAAGTGATAGGAAGCCTTTTTTGGAATTAGCTTGTTTTGGGCCGGGAAGTGATAGTTATCCTGCTGTACTGGATCTATTGGTGTTATATGCAGTTATTGGGGATTATGGCTGCAATGTTGACATTTTTAATGACCTAAAATGTGAATAAAACAAATACAACCAAAGACATGTAAGAAAATAGAAAATGGAAACTGCTAGGATAAAGGAAATTAAGAAGAGATTTAAACTAGAACATTCAGAATGACAAAATTTATGAGATACGTAGCATGCAGAACACCTCCCCAAAACTTGTGTGGTATTATATTCATCTGATAAAGAAGACCTTGAGTTTCCTCCATCAAATATCGGTTCTTCCACTCTTAAATTCCACTCTATTTAGAGGAATATGCACATTAACCTTGATATAACACCTCTATCATTTTTTTATCAGTATAACACCTCTATCATGGAGAAAAGAACTTAGACTACCTTTAACCCAGCATTGTCTAAGATAAATCTGTTTTACAAACCATCCATTTGATGGAACTGTTGAACAATTTTAGGAACTTTCATTTCTTGTCTTTATAAGATGTAGCAATGTAAAAAAATGTATGGGTAAATTGCAGATTAGTAGCCTGTACTTTGGGGCTAGTCTCACTTTAGTACCCAAATTTCAAAGCATGCCAATGCAGTACCTAAACTTCTGAAAACTCTCACATTGGGCCCTACCTTTAGCACTCTGTCAGTTATCTGATGCACATGATATCACATGCATTTAAAACATTTCAAAATCCCAAAATTACCCTTCAAAAAAAGACACTGTTCATCGTCTTCTTGCAATGGCTAAACCCACAGTGATTCTTCCATTGCGGGTTCAATAACCTTTTATGTGTCTCATTTTTAGTAGCAGTCTTGGTATCGCTGCCATCTTCTGCAGCTGAACCCTTTTATTACACATCTTTCGCTTCTCCAAATAGTCATTGACCTCCCCATTTTCAATCTACAAAAATACACAAAAACAGAAAACTGTGCCTAGTCGGCCCAGAAGACTTACAAAGAGGGGAAAATGTCAATGTTTTCGTGTTTTTTTGAACAAGCACACATTGTGGTTTTTCTGCTCAGAAAACGATAGGGAAGGTTTATAACTACGAAAGGAGTCTGAATCCATTGATATGGATAAGGGGTTCAAATTTGAAATAAAGGAGTTTCAGTAGGCTGGGTGAGGAAATAATTGGAGTTGATATTGGTAATGGAGGTTTTTCCAGTACCCAAGGTTTAAAATTTGAATACAGGCCGATATGCCAGTAGGGGCGCATCGGCATGTATCGTGGCTCACTTCCCCTTTTTTTTAGTTTTTTTTTTTCAATCTGGTTCAGAGGGGTTGGTTTAAGGTCCCTCTACCACCTAAACCAGGGTCTGACCCGAAACACACACTGTAGGGGCATATCAGGAAGCCACCGATACGGTACGTATCATATTGACCGATACGGCTCAATACGTATCAAAATTTTGAACCTTGCCAGTACCAGCCACTTTTCCGCTGTAAAATGGTTCTATGCTTGGGAGAAAAAACTTTACCAGAAGGTCAAGAATGCTGAGACTAATAAGATAGAGAACAATAAGAGGGTGGCCCAGCTTAGGAAGCAAGAGGTGAAAGGGAAAAACTGTGTGAAGATCGAAAGGAGCAAGAAAGGCATTGAGAATTTGGAGTCAAGAATAGTTGTGGCTTCTCAGGCCATAGAGCTATGTCTGCTGAAATTGCCAGATTGATGGTGACAACACTCTATCGGCAATTCCTTGAACTAGTGATAGGATTGATGTGCATGTGGAGAAGTATGTATGAATGCCAGAATCCCAAACTCACATAGTTCAGCAGTCGAAGTTCCTTAATACTCCCACTTCAACTACATATGCCACCTATGAGATTCTTCGTCAATCAACTCTCCAACTTGAGCTTGAGGTTCAGCAGTGGCACTCAGACTTCTGCGAACCTCATCCAAACCTAAAGAGGTAGCATCCATTCCCTCACAGGATGGCTCCGTCTCAGCCTCTTCCAATTCAATAGAAACTTTCTAACCAAAACTGAACAAAACTCAGAAATCTACTCCGTCTCAGCCTCACAGGTTCAACGATGGCATTTGAAGGGATAAAAAGCCTCTTTAACAGTAATTCATGTAGTTGTGGCTCAACACGCAGAAGAATAGAGAAAAGAAGTTAGGATAAGGTGAGTTCAATAAATGGTTGGTTCGTAAAGAAAATTGATGACACCCGAAGGGAATTTGTGTCCTTTCACATGTCACTTAATGTCGGTTAACAATTTTGGACTAAACTGACAGTTTTCAGGAGTTCAGGTACTGCATTGGCACATTTTGAAACTCGGGCACTAAAGTGAGACTAGCCCCAAAGTACAGGGTACTAATCTGCAATTTACCCAAAAAGTAGTAAAGTATCACATGCCAGCAAATGCAACCACGAGAATAGGGCCACGCACTTCAAACAGAATATAATAGTCATCTGCTTCAATTGGACTTCCAAACTGGAGTTTCTGATATTCTCAGTTGATGATTCCATTTCTTGTGACAAATACCAATCACCTTTGTGCACCTAAAGGGGAAACAATACTCTGGGGTCAGTGGTATAGGCAATCCTACCTATAGCTTACTGAGTTGTTAAGCTCCTGGTTTAGACCTTGGGGTTTTGAAGACTGATGAGACTCTTACTAAGCCCTGCCTAACTGGATCTGTAGATTCTGTACATGAGTATCAAAATGAGTTTGAGAAATTAGCTTCCTGAGTTAATGGGTGACCAGAGAAATTGTAAGGTGTTTTATTGGGGACCTATGGGAGGACATTTGGATCAAGGTCAAGGCTTTAAAAACTATGAGTCTATGATCATAGCAAAAGTAGCTTGACTAGCCAAACTTCATGAAGATAGACTGAACCAACTAAGGAAAATTAACAGACCTCTTGGCCCTATATTGAAGACTCCCCCTCCTAGGTTTGAATCTGGCACAGGTAAAATCCCAGGTCCTACCCACTGTCTACCCTTGAAGAAGCTAACATGGGTGGAAATGCTGGACCACAAAGAACTTGGTACCCTACATTTACAAAATCAAGGGAGGCATCAAAAGCCTTTTTCCATAATAAGATTTGCACTAACTCACATTTGCACCTGTAATTCACACTTCTAGAATGGTAATCACAGCACAAATCAGAGAGATTCATCACTTGGCATAATAATTTTCACTAAAAGATCAAAATAGCCAACACCAGAAATTATAATTTTCATCAAGGATTGAATCTGTTAGCACTAGAAATCATTATCCTCATCAAAAAATTTAACCAATCAACACCAGAGTCTTCTCACTTCAGATTTTAAGAGCAGTTCAACATGACAAGCACCTTAACCCCTTTTTGTACTTGAACAAATAGAGGGAATCACATCACCTTGTCAGATCACTCACAAAAAAGGACAGAAGAAAAGGGAAGGGGTAACCAGATCTTAGTCCCTCTTGATATTTCCAAATAGAGAGTAGAGAAGAAAATTGCAAAAAAAAAATAATAATAACAGGGTGCTAGGATACTATTCAGAACAATGAACCTGCTACGATACCATATAAATGCTTCATTATAGGTATTAGAAGCAGAAGAAAGAAGGGAATAAATAAAGAACTCACATTGGGAGTAAAAACATGACTAACTACTGAATGGTGTTGAAGATTAATCAGTTTTATGAAGTTTTTCTGAGTAGATGTTTTATGTTAGTTGTTAGATAGGAGGTGGGGACCACAGTAGTTACGTGAGTCCAAATTTTATTATGCTTTGAGTGTTATATATGCTGTTTTATGTTTTGCCACCCTATAAGGGCATAGTTGTCTTTGTACTGCTCTATTATTTTTAGTATAAATAATAAGTGAAGGGGGCGGCCAGATCATTGCTCTCTTTTCTTTTCAACTTCTCTTCTTCTCTTCTTCTCCTTCTCTATTCTCTCTTCAAGAAACTACTTTTCTATCATATTTTTAATTCAGCAGATTTCTACTTGGTATCAGAACATAGCGTCATGGAGTGATACAATGGGGTGCTTGGCTAGAGGCTTTCTAGATGTTTCTTGAGGCTTCTAGTCAATTCTGCATGTTTATGGGGTGTTTTGGAACGTTCTAGGGTGTTCTGGAGTGTTCTCCATGTGTCTAGAAGGGTCTAGATGTTGGTGGAACTCTCTAGAACCTTGTGGAACAATCTGGGTTTGTGTGGAACAACCTAGAGGGGTTGGGAGCAATCTAGACTTCCTCTAGAGTGTTCTTGTATCTTATGGAGAAGGCATCCCCTAGAAGAGTGTAGAAGGTAGGATGTTCTAGAGGTACTTCTAGATGATGCTAAGTGTACATAGTTCTAGAGAAATCCTTAAAGGAGGTGGAGGTGCCTATAAAAGGGGGCCCCCTCCCTCATTTGCATCAAGTAAGGAAGTAGAGAAGCAAGAAGCAAGAAAGCAATCAAGCATTGTATCCATCTCTTGAGTAATACAAAGATTTCTTTGAGTTCTCCATCTCACTCTTTCCTTGTGTGCTTTGTGCATTGTTGCCTAAGTATGCCACACTTTGTAGTAGGCTAGATGTTTTCTGTGCAGCTGGGATGGTCAATAGAATCCAAAATAACCTGGGAACACAACATTGGACTGAAGTAAAAAATATCCTTAGGTACTAGAGAAGAACTAAGAACTATACAATGTCATACAATGGAGAGGATTTCGTGGCAACAAGATATATACTATATAGATTCACACTTTTAATCAGATCAATACTCACAAAAATCCACTTCAAGGTATATCCTCACCCTAGGTGGTGGGCCATTAGTTGAAGTAGTATTAAGTAATAGTGTATCAAATATTCCACCTAATGAAGCAAAGTATGTTGCAGCACTTGAGGCAACTAATGAAAAAGTCTAGATGAGAAATTCCTCTAGAGAATAGGGGTTGGTAGTACTTGTTAGTATGTTACTAATGATGAACTTCTATGATAACAATGGTACAATAGAGTAGAGAAAGGAACTCAGGTGTCACAAGTGGGACAAAATATTGAATAGAAGTATCATTTAGTCTGTGAGATTGTACAAAGAGGAGATTTGATGGTAACAAAAAATACAACTGTAGAGAAGATTGTGGACCTAATGACCCAGCCTTGACTAAAGTGTTTGATCAAATGTAGATGCCATGGAGCTCTGGTTAATCAATTTTTGGCCTTAAAAGATCAAGTAAGAGAATGTCGGAAATGATTTTTCCATCATAATTGACACCTAGGCAAGCACCTAGGCGACAAGGCACCCATGGTCAATCCAAATTTAAAAAAAAAGGAGTGCAAACCGAGACAAACTTAGGATTGGAGACCAAGAGATAACTAAATGTACCATTTTCTGTTACCTTGGTTCAATAATTCTAACAAAGAAGATATTGAGGAGGATGCGACCCATAGAATTGGAACAGGATGGGGAAAATGGAGGGGTGCATCTGGAGTCTTATATGACAATTGAATGCCACTTTGGATAAAAGGAAAATTCTATAAAACAGTTGTAAGGCCAGTTATGTTGTATGGAGAAGAGTGTTGGAAAGTTAAGAAACATGTCCAAAAAATGACTCGGGTAGAAATGCAAATGCTTAAATGGATGAGTGATAAAACTAGTAAGGATGGGGTTAAAAATGAAGTCATACAAAAGAACCTAGGATTAGCTCCACTAAGTGATAAAATGACAAAAAGTTGATTGAGATGGTTCAGACATGTGCATAGAAGACCATCTAAGCACCTATTAGGAAAAGTGACCTGTTACAAGTTGAAGGGACTAGAAGAGCTAAGGGCAGACTGAAAAAGGACTTGGGTGGAAAGTAATAAGAAATGATTTAAGTGCCCATAATTTAACAATGGATATGGCACTGAACAGAACAACTATACAATTCAGAACAACTAAGAATACAAATCATGGACCTAAGAGAAAATGAGAAACAAAAACCAATAATCCAAGATAATAAGTAACTCACTGATGCAATAATAATTAACTTGCCAGCCCCTGCTGAGCCACCAATGATTGCAACTGTTAGACTTGGGACTATTGCCAAGCATCTTGTTAAGAAGTTCCGTATCCATGGTGTGATTCGCAAATCAAGAAAACCCTACAAAACAAATATCAGAAGATGAAAATTAGCTGACCTTCATGATTCATGGCCACGATAGGAGAAAATATTAAGACAAACACCATATATTCTTTGCCTATATTTTTTCATATTTAAACCACTCAAACAAATGAATATTATTGATACCATCATTTGGCAATTACTGCAGAAAGACACATTTTGACAAACCCATATTAGTATTGATCAATAGCAAAGATAAAAAACATGAATATAAATCCATGCACATAACAAAACCAAATTAGCTGGCAGAGAAATGTAGGATGGTGAGACCCCAAAAAGTGATCCTATTTAGTTGGTAGAGGTTGACAACAGTATCGTCTCCCTCCCTCCCTCATGGGATCCACAGCACTAAGGGCCTGTGCAGACCCTTAAATTTCCAGCCATTTGTCAAAAGAAAAAGCACATGTTTCTTTGCTATTGATCAAAACATAAATTTCCAGTAGGAAAAGAAAAAGACAAAGAAACATGGTGTTCCAAGAGGTGAGGGAGATGCCTGTGGTAGAAGGCACCAGAATTTTCTTATTCTCAGGTTTAACATATCAGCTTCAAAAATGCTAGTACCATTGAGATACATACAGATAATGGAAGGTGAGAAGCAGATGCTGGAAAAACTTTGGAAGGGAGAATCTGTGTCTAAAGGAAACTTAAGGAGGAAGGGGTTTCTACTAAAGAAAGTTATAAACTATGAAGGGGTGGCAAAGATAAAGCCCAAAGGAAAGTGCAAAGAAATAAACTGAAGAAACACAGAGGTTTGATGAAAAAGGAAACTGTCCACACAAAGGGAAGCAATCAGGGCTGACAGGAAAAGGAAACTGGATAGCAACAGATCTCACAAACTGGAGAAGCCAAAGAAGATTGGAGTTAGCCTGAGACCAACTGATAGTGGCTCAATTGATGGGATCTATAATAGCTGTTTGTAGTGGAGACTCAGGATAAAATCCCACTGCCAGCAAGGTTGGGGGATTAAGGGTATGGGGATGGGCTACCCTGCGTTGTGTAGCCCAATCAGAGAGAGAAAGAAAGAGAAAGAGAGAGAGAGAGAGAAGCCAGAGATGGTAGGTTTGACATTTCCAAGTATGCACTTAATGAGAGATAAAGGTAAAGCTTTGATGAAGGTACAATTCCCAAACTCTGAACTACACTTCATATTTAGAACTTGATTGCATTTTTATCTGATCCTTAGTGCTGCTTTCCTTTGTATGGGATGGACATTCATGGACTCTGGTTTATTCCCAATGATAACCGGTTGGCAAAGATAATAATCATCTAAAAAGGCCATTACCCAATGTTGGTCCCAGGTTCCCAGCTATCTGAGGTCATGGGAGGGCCAGACTGGATGAGGTCATAACCTTTGATGTTTTCTTTTGGCACAAAGGCCATTACCCAATGTTGGTCCCAAACTCAAAGCTATTTGGTACAGTTACTTGTACCAAATTTCAAATTTGAAAATGCATATGCTTCAATGGATGAGTGGAAAAACTAGAAAAAATAGGATCAGAAATAAAGTCATCCGCAGGAACTTAGTAGTAGCTACAATAGGTGATAAAATGAGAGAAAGTAGACTTAGATGCTTTGGTCATGTGCTATCGAACTCGAACATGTGAGTGTTTGAGTCGAGTTGAATTCAAGATCATGGTTCTAGCTCAAATCGAGCTCAAGCTGAACTCAAACCACATAACTTTTTTTCTGAGACAAGCTCAAAAAGCTAAATATTCAGTCTAACACGGATCAAATAGACCCCTAGTTACATGCTTCTTATTCTTACATCACCAACATTTCCATTGACACCAAATTTTAGTGCAATAGGTCTAAAACCAACAGAAATGACAACCTGCATCTTAATTTATTGCTTCGTTTTGGTAACAATTCATTATTTATCTATGTCAAATCAATGGAATACAAGAGATTAAAAAAGAAAATCAATGGAATGCAAGAACTAAAAGAAGTTATGATATCCCTTAAAGGTCAAAACAGTTGTTCTTAAATTTTGATGACGTGACTCTTGTATTTCTCCCCCCCCCCACTAGTTATCCAGTTCCATCTGCATTTTTCTTATAAACTGTCCCATTCTATGATCAAGACAGTGTCCACTAAGAAGAAAACAAAGCACAAGATCTAAACTCAATGATCCAATTAGTACAATACCTGCATGACATATTGTCCTGCATAAGTTCCTGTAATTGTAGAACTCTGACCTGATGCCAATAACGCAATTGCAAAAAGTTTTGAACTCCAACTACCTAGAACATTCTGTCATAAAAGGAAAAAAATAAATAAATAAATAAATACTAGAATAAGTATCACAATAAACTTCAGTTGAAAATGCAGAACTCTAATACAAAATTATATGTACAGCAGAAAAACAATCATAATATTAACACAGTTTGAAGAGACAACAAATTACATACTCTTAGCAAAAAGGAGGCTTTGTTCAAATCCAAGTCATTGCAGCTTGTCTGATCCTCCGGACTCAAATTTGAGGAATTACAGACAGAACCACTTACAGAAATAACAGATACATTAATCAGAAAGGCCACCAGCAAAGCAAAGGCACTTTCTATGGTATAAAATCGGCATGCCTCCTGCAACAAATATGTATTCATTCAGAAGATATCAGAATTTTGAAAAATAAATGCCACACCAAATAAAAGCTAGGACATCTGAACATGAGCCTTGGAACCAGCACGACATATCCGTGCTAAGCTAGTGACTTTCTTTTTTTTTTCTCCATTTGATCAGTTGGTATTTCCTGATTTTCAATGCATCTCCTTTATTTATCTCAAAGCAGAATTGCATAAAATATATCTTATGTATGTAACCAATGTTGATGATTTTCAGAAACCTCTGAATGATGTTGCCTTTTGGATTTTCAAGAAGGGAAGGACTCTGAAAGCAAAAAAAATCCAGATTATCCATAATAATGTACATAAGGTCTACTACCCATACATTCATCGGTTCATCAAATATATTATGGTAGGAAATCCACCCATCACGCTTTACCCACTCAAACAGGATCTCAATCCATCCTATTCAACAGTTGGGTCACCTCTTGGATGTATTACAAATTAGAAATTAGGTACATTCTAATTATTCAACCTTAATAGCTACTTTTCTGGAGTCTAGACCCTTAATCCTCTATATTTTAGCCAATAGTAACTGTTCATCCAAGAGGTGACCCATTGACTAGGCATTAATTATTGATAAATAATTAGAAAGAGCTAGAGCCATGGCAAACTGAAAATAGAACTTATACAAATAAAGAGGTTAACTTTGATTCCATGAATAGATCTTGGAATTCTTCGGGAAAGCACCAAAGCTGAATGGAGGAAGAGGTTGTGCCTATAGAAAATGCACAAAACAAACAAAATATGAGAAAAAATTATGAAATGAAGAGACGAGTAAGTATAACTGCAAAAGAAGCTTACGGCATAACCATAGCACCAAGGAGTGAAATTGCAAGGCCAGTAGCTCCATTTCCCTTAAGTTGGGGAATAAAAAGCCCCTTTATAACTTCGGAAGAATTGGGTTTTGCATATCCAAGCTCCGCAAAGAAGCATGCAGCAATTGTAAGTACTAGAAATGCAATCAAGAACTCAAGTTTCCTCACCTGTAAATTGAGAAATAATATGAAAAGCTTAATGTCTTTATGTTAACTATGATCTTTAACAATGACTACATTAATAACAATGCATCAAATGAGGAAGAAATATGCTAACAATATAATCATTCTGTAAACTTAACTTAATTGTATATTTTGAAACTGTGTTTGGTTTGAAAGACAAGGTAAGGAAACCTATACAAGGCAGAAAAAGTAAATTAGTGTATATATGGCGTGAAGGCACATCCATACCCCATATTGTTGCAATGCTAGAAGAACCAAAGTACTAAACCCTGTAAGCAGAACACCACACCATACAGGAATATTGAAGAGCATATTCAGTGCAAAGGCTGTCCCAATCACTGGAGAATAGAAAAATCCAATATTTAAAATCATGAAAAATATAATTAGAAGCAAAAAATATATAAGCACAGTTAAGAGTCTGCTATAGTAAAAATATAACAAGAATGCAATGCAATAATTTTCTAAACTTCAAAGTAGAAAGTTCAGAATTTGGATAAATTTAATATTGCACTAGAAGAACTAAGCCTCAAAACCATTAAAGAAATATGAGAGCTTATAAGAGGAACCAAATCATGGACAGAATACTGTTTGTGACAATTTGACAAATACATGGAAAATAGCCAGGTCACCCTTTTACAGTATGGCAGTATTTTTCATGTTATTCTTGATCTAATATATGCTGTACAGGGAAGTGGAAGCAAAGAGAGAAAGAGAAAGAAAAACACTACAAAATGGAAAGAGAAATAGGAGAAAATGTGGGAGAGAAAAAGAACTCTCCCCACTAAGTGGATGGAATTTATACATGTTGTAATGGGTGATTAAGTGTGTCAGCCAATTCTTATATTTATGTTATTTTATTGATAAGTTGGGTCAGATGTTATTGGGCCCAGATTAGTTGTTTTTTATTTAAGCTTGTGTGTGCCTTCACTAATCAGGGGCATACTTGTCCATTCACATATTATTGGCCTCTTAATACAAAAGTCTCTATGGCTGGCTGAGAATACTTTTGCCACCCATTCATTCTCTCTTCTCTACTGTTTTCTCTTTTCTTCTTGCTTTCTACTCTTGCAGGTCAGCAAACATGGTATCAGAGCTCTAATCGACCTGATTGCTGATTGTTTTAATCCTCTTTCTCCTTTTTTATCTTCTATATTCTTTTTATTTTCTGGTTACCTGGGAAGAAGCTCTAGGTCTGATCATAGCATACCAAGGGGTCTGTATATGGGGTTTCTCTTTGGGTGTAGGAACCAAACAGGAGTTTTTCCAGCACAGTGTATGTCCTACTAGAGATTGTTCACAGCCAACAGTCATTCAGCTACTACAGAGAATCTGTTCAGATTTCAGAAGCGTATGAGCCTGAGTTTTGGGTGACAGCAGTTGCAGTGTTATTGATAGAGGAGAACCACGTGGAAAACCTCAGGGGAGGACACTTCTAAGGACAACCAAACTGTTAGGAGAGCCTCAAACCTTGATAACTCAAACTTGCACGGTTAAGGACAACCAAACTGTTGGATAAGCATAATTTCAGAGAATGATCAGTTTCAACCAAGTTGTTCATTACTTCCCTCCGGTATGCCATGGGCTATAACAATGGAAAGAAGAAAGAACCTAGGAAGGAAGATGCTGAATACTCGACTTTGTGCAGATAAAATGCATTTCTTATATGTTGGATACTTGCTTCAAGGACTCCAAGGGTTGCAAGGACTGTCCAGCACTTTCCCGCAGCCTTCAAGATTTGGGAATAAGTCTTAAGGCCTATACAGTGGAAGAACAATGCAACAATTTACAGATTGACACAGGATATTGCTGTCCTAAAGCAAGGAGACATGTCTTTAGCAACATACTTTGCTACTTTGGAGGGGTTGTGGATTGGTGGAGTTAGACCATCACCTTGTGATTGACTAGGAAAATACGAAGGGAAGCATGATAAACAAACAGAAGAAGGCAGAGCTTTTAAGTTAGCTGGCTTGGACCCAATATATGAAGGTATAAGATCTCAAATATTGGGACAAGATGAACTTCCAAATTTATAGCATGTTTATTATCTTGTACAAAACGAAGAATTAAGATGAAAGGAAATGCAAGTGGATACCTAGGTGCATCCCATTGAGCATTTTAGCTTTGGTTTCCTCCAATTGAAAAGGGGGAAAGGGTTCTGACAAGAAGCATCTTAAGTGCACACATTGTGGGGGTGAAAAACACAAAGAGAACTGTTGGGTTCTTTATCCTCATTTGAAACTATAAAGAGACTGGGGCCGAATGGGCCCTAACAGCCTCTCTTGTAGTATCTTTTATTTTATGTTGATGGGCCACACTTAATGGGCCTGTTATTTATTCTTGTTTATTTTCTTTATGTAACTGCCAAGCTGGCCGCCCACTTAAGGGCATTCTTGTCATCATTAAATTTTTAGATCTTAATAAAATAGGGTTAGAGGAGAATGGAAAATTATTCAACTCCTTCTCTTACCTCTTCTCTTCGCCATCTTCTTCTCTTAAACAGTTATTAAGACCTGTTTTATTCTGCTAATCACTAAGTTTAAACTTGATATTAGAGGACTGATTCACATCTTGGTACCAGAGCAGGTTTAGTTCCTCTTCCTTCTTCTTCTTCGTTCCTATACACTCTAAAATCAAGAGTGTATGGAGAGATAGGTTCTCTATAGTATAGAGAATCACTTGCCTAGTTGGTCAAAGGGTTTGGAGAGTTTAGTTCTAGCTAGATTTTGCCAAGAAGTGTTGATGTTTTGTTGCTGCCCGAAACCCTAGCCGACTAGAGATTTTCAAGGTTACTAGGAAAGGTGAAGCTCGGGTGTGGCGCTCTGTGCTTGGAATGTGTCTTCTGACTGCTAAAGGAGGGCGGCTCAGGTTTGGAAGTGTTCGGGTTAGTCTGGTAGGTGCGGCAGCATCTTCTCTCTTCCTTCCATCTGCTGGACGGAGCAAAACCCTAGTTTTTCAAGCACCCAAGTTCTGGATTGGCTTCAAGTAAGTTTACAAAGTCAAAATTTCTGTTCTTTGATTTCCGTTTGATTAATGGAGATGTACGAAAGTGAGTTCAAGCAGGTGTCGGTTTCTGGACTTGCCACAGTAGATTCCGTTTTGACAGGTGTCACCACAATTAAGCTAGATGGGACGAACTATCTTTCTTGGGCACAGTCTATAAAAATTTATGCTTGTAGTAGAGGAAAACTCGGGTATCTCACAGGCAGTAAGGTGAAACCCGAAGAGACAGACCCTGAATTTGAAAAATGGATGCAAGAGAACTACACTGTTATAGGATGGTTAGTTAACTCTATGCAACCCCATATAAGCCA